CAAGTATATTATTTATTTATTTATTTATTTTTGGTTTTTCTCCGGTACCGGGAACCGAACTCACGACCTTGCACTTGCCAGGCAGGCACTTTGCCGCTGAGCTAAATCCCCAGCCCCTACCAAGTATATTTTTAAAATATTAATATGTGACACAATCCTAAGCAGTGGGTAATAAACAGTGAATTGGTTTTGCAGTGAAAGGGTTACAATTTCAGACTTCAAAGGCATTCTTCAATTTCATTCTCATAAACTATAAGTCTTTGAACTCTGCAAAAAAGGGTTTAATGATTTTTTTCAAAGAATTCCTTTAAGACATTAGGTTCTTTGGTTGAGAAACAAAAGGAGAGAGAGAGAGAGAGAGAGAGAGAGAGAGAGAGAGAGAGAGAGAGAGATACAACAACCATTAGAACTTATTTTTCAACTAACTCCTCATTGTGAGTTTATTATTCCCCTCTCTTTAAATGACTTTGAAATCTGTAAGTGGTCCATGCACAGTACCAGCAAAGTAAACCAATCAGCCTCCAATTAAAGATCAGGAGAGAAAGCCAAATTTAAATTCAAATTTTTGCCTCCATGTTCAATGGCTGAAGAAGGATTTCCTAGGAAGCTTCACACATTAGTGCTTAGAAGAATGCCAAGATGTTATCTGGGCCATTCATCCTCTCAGGCACTACCCTAAAAAAACAGAAAGATGCCCTATTTTGAAATATTCTCATACAGAGATTAGACACCCTCCCTTGAAAAACACTGTCAACATTATCAGCCTTTTCATGAAATAAAGAGGTATTTCTGTTAAATTCAAGTTACTTAAATACAGATAGTTTCGACTTTTGGGGCAAGAAGCTAGGTGACAGTTAAAAGGCACATATCTTTCCATGACAGGTGTGTGATTTAAGGTGTCAGTGTTCACTGAGTATCCAGCATGGACTTGGGCTTCAGTCTTCATTTGCAATAGGGTCCTGCGGATTGTCAGGGCAGCCTAGCCAAGGTGGCAAGGGGACATTTAGTTCTGATCGTGCAGTGCTAGGAAAGAAGCACTTTCCTTAAAGGTGCCAGCTTAGAGATTTCAAGTAACTCGCTCCAAATGGGGGCAGAAAGCCCAACAAACTTTTCTTATATTCATAAGGGACAGAATAAATAACACCACTCATGTTTCTTTTCCCATATCCTAAACATTTCTAAGGAGCTTAGGAGAAGAATGAGAGAAACTATAGATAATAAGAAGCATATGTATGATGATTTGTATGGGTGTGTGTGCATATGTGCATGCACTTATGTGTGTATGTTTCTGTATTCACATGTATGTACACCTGCTTTGGCTGCAACAGCACTTTACCACAGTGGTTTATAAACAATAACAATTTGTTTCTAATAGTTCTGAATGCTGAGAAGTCAAGAAAATAAACTTTGATGGCTGTACTTGCCCTGTGTCCTCACACGGCAGAAAGTAAGCAAGGGCGCTCTGTGAGTCTCCTTTAATCTCATGCACGAGGACTCCACCCTCATGACCAACCAGATCACTCCCCAGAGGCCCCCCTCCCCATTCACTCAGCTCAGGGATTAAATGTCAGCATATGAAATTTGAGGACGCACAAATATCCAGCCATAACAATGTGTACCAATGTCTATTGTGTGTTTGTGAGCCCTGTGAGTATGTGTCTTGCATATACTGTGCATTGTGTAATTATGTATTTCCATATGTATGTATGTGCTTGTGAATATATATTTATCCATATAAATGGTTGCTTGAGTATGTTTGTGCTTGTATGTGT